AGATGTCAGAACTCTTAGAAATCAGTCATCCCAATTTCATTTTACAGGAAACAAAAGCCCCGAGATTTTTCACTTATCCAAAATTAGTCTGAAGACTAGAACACAAATCATCTAATGTCAAAGTAATTTTTCCAAAATCTCCTTACCTTTTCCCTTCAGGATGGTAATGTTAGGTTATATAATTTTAAAAGCAAATTATACTGAAAAACAAAACAAAACAAACAAACAAAAAAAAACAAACATACAAAGAGAATGCCAAACAAAAATAAAAACTCATTTTACTTAAAACAGAAAGGCTTATCAAGCACAGACTTGGTTCCCTAATAACTAACATATACCTTTTAATTCCATTCAGATTCTATCACACATTGTTTCCCTCCACAAGAAATTCATTGCAAAATAACTGCTTCCACACGGACATTACTTCTGGTGGTTTCTCGAGTAGGACGTGTCTCACCCTCCCCTCCTGCTGCAGTAATCCACGCCAAGAATCACAACCTATAGCAACACAGTACTTACTCTTCCTTTTATACAAAGCCCTCTTAAATGAAGAACTAAGAATAGAGAAGTAATGCAAAGTCCTAGCTAGAATTCCAAATGACTAGAATTCTTCTCTGAATAAAAAGGATGGTGGGAAAGACGACTAGATTAAAAATTTGGCTAAATTCAAGCCACATTGTTTCATTTTTAACTACTTTGAACAAGAATCATATTTCCAAATCTTTTTTCTATTTTAATTATGTTTTCTAAAATAAAATAAGCAGCATTCACACATTCTAATGCTATTTTACAACTGCAAAATCATTAAACAATCATTATTTATCATCTACTATGTGTAACTAACTTTCATATATATGATTATATTACATCTAAATAGAAATTTTGTAAGCTTGTGATTGAGAATGATACCATCTTTAAGACACACTTTAAGAGAAAAACAATACTTTTTAAGACCTTTTACTCAGAAATTGTAACAGTTACAAAAAGTTTTCCTACACATTGCTTCTCTGTAATTATTTGCTGATATAAATGAAGGACCTGAAAATTAAAACCACAGAAAAAAAACCTCATTAGTAACAATATCATCTATTGAATATTCACCAAAACTCCCTATGCGGTCTTACAAGTGACACACACATTATTACATTTAATCCTGACGCTACTTCATGAGCTAGGTAGGGTTATTATTCCTTTGTAACTGAAGTACTTGGGCTAAGTGCTTCCACGAGCTCCCGGAAGTCTTTGGGGAGGTTTGGGGTGCTACACTGACAGCTGAGGCTGGCATTTAGTAAGTGGGGGCCAGGGAATTTACACAGCCTGCAATGTGCTGGACAAACCCACAGAATAATCCAGCCCAAAATGCTATACCACTACTGAGCAACACTTACTGAGGATAAATGGACAGAGCCAAAGAGTTAATAGTGTCTTTAAACTAGTTTGATTCAATAGCAAAATCAAGGAAATCACTAGGACCCACCCAAAAGAAAATCAAATATAAAATCTTATCAAATTCTCATACTAATTTAAGTAGTCTAGGTTACCTTCTCAAAATGGCAAAATGACAAAAAAGATGACATACTTATAAACATTACTCTGGCACCCTCTTTACCAAGTTTTCCATTTGTCTTGTAATTGCCTCAGTATATTTGCAAAACTTTATCATCATCCTTAATTACTCCAAGATGTTATAGAAAGGAGTCATCAAGTCCTTCTCCAGTTCCCATTCTACTAACCCTGTTTTATAACCATTTTACTACCGATATGGGTTAATAGTTACATATGAAGTTTCACTTAGTCTATTCTTTTCATCCTTGGCACCACCACCCATTAATCACCCTAAAAATCATACTGTTTTCCTGTCAGCATCTCCTTATTTAACTACAATGATCCCTCACTGAACAACATTTAGGAAGACCTTTTTTACTCAAATCAGATATACATTTCAAATTCCAGTTTTCAAGGTTCTCCACCAACTGGCTCCTATTTTCCCACCAACTCAATTAGAATCACTATTTCAAAGAGTCTCTTTAGTACTGCTCTAAATTACCATGATAATTCTCTTTTCTCTACTTTTGTCAACAGTTTGCCTAGAATAATTTTCCCATTCCTTCTTCTCTGCTATTCAGAATACTTGTTAGTGTGTAGATGTCATCAAATACAATGAATTTACCTGTAATGTAACTAAGTGTAATGTCAGTAGACCTCTAAATAATTATTTAACTTCAATTACTTTTATCTAATTCTAGTCCTACAGTTAGGACTAGAAACTTCTTGAAGGTAAAAATCAAATAATCTTTTCTTCTGAATATTCACATAGACCAATCACAGAATTATTTCTTGAAGAAATCATGAACAGCACCTTTGTTTTATCTTATGTATTTTTTAATTTTTTTTATGTGAGAGAACTCAATTGGTTGCCTCCTGCAGGAGCCTGGACCAGGGCCCAGGCTGGGGAGGAGCCTGAATCAAAATATGTGCTCTTGATCATAATCAAACCTGGGACCGTTTGGTCCACAGGCCGATGCTCTATCCACTGAGCAATTTCAGTAAAGAAAAACACAAAAGAGCAAGAGCAGCAGAATTAATTTGTAATAAGTCTGCATATTATATCAATGTAAAGCTGTAAAATTAGGAACTAAAATTTAACCTGTCTACTTTTGAAAATAAAGAAGAGAAAATAACATCTTAAAACACATATGCAGAAATTAGATAAAAATAAAAATGTCTTAGTAATTTCCTATAAGTCAAAGCTGTAATAAATAAAGCTCATAAGCTGATCTGCTACTTAAACTTAACAGAAGAAATGATTAAATGGCATTACTGGTAGACAAACCAATTTACCATTCATATAAATCTTTAAAAAAAAGGGGAAGGGAATAGAAATATATTTGGTAAACAGTTTTTCAGACTTCATTCTAAATACAGTAAAACAGGTTCTAAAAAAATTTAGTCTAATTTGTAAACTATAATTACAGTCTCATTTACACTCACACAGTATTTAATTATTAAAAATATGTATAAGCAAAAATCATACACAAGTAATTATTTTGGACACTTGATCCTTGCTTTTATTTGGCAATTAGCTCTAGGCCTAATATTTTAAATCCTCCCTTGTGTCAACGTGCTAATTATTCAGATTCATTAGGGGCAAAAGTCTTGTCTAAGAAAAATATTTGGTTTTATTAAATTCAGCCTTGCTGGTGGTATTCACTTCAATTATATTAAATTACAAGAGGGAACAGATTGGTTGTTAAAAAATAGTAATTTATTTACCATGAGAAAACTGAGAGTGCACTGGGAAAATAGTTAAAATTCAACCCCTTTAAAAGAAAAGCAAAATAATCTAAAAATAACTGATTTAATTCAACTTCTTTTTTAGTCCAGTGACAATACTCTTTTGAGAGAAAAAAAAAAAATCTGCTTTCAGTTCTAAACAATGCATCTAGATCCAACAAAGCACTATTCTTGTCACTATATAGAGTTTTACTAAACTCTTAGCACCCACATTGTCAGAAATTAATTCTATTCCCATCAACCCTAAACGAGAAGGAATTGATCATTGGGTTTAGAAGTAAAAATCTCTGGACAATTGAAGCCCAAAATATTCTAAACTATCCAGATATTTGGGCAAGAGCCCTTTATATAAACAATTTAGAAATTCACAGAATTTGGATCTTGTCTGGTCAGACCTGACCATTTTAATAGGTATGAGTGCATCACTGATATTTACTATGAATGGTAGACTTAGTAAGAGTTCAATGGCCCATTTGAAAAAGCTTTCATGATCACTTTAAAGACTGTACACTAATATCAAATGAAACTTGAGACATATCCTGATACCATATATCATACTCCTTGAAATGAAGATTTTAAAAAATGATAAGGAAAAAACTAATGCAAGTCCCCCCCCCCTTATCAGGAGCCAGATGTGAGGGGTAAAGCTCCCATTCCTCCATTTGATTGGCTGGTTGATTAGTTTGTTTTTAATGATAGTTATGTCTAGTGATTTTCTATTTACTTATAACCAACATATTATTTCAATAATATATAGAGAGCAAATGTCCTACAGATGACTGAACACAGCATTTCTTTTAAAAATGTTACATTTTACTTTTAAAATAAGGGAATTTAGGTTAAGATGGTTTACTGTTATAGTAAAAGCAAACAAAATTTTAAGTTATATCATTTAAAAGAGGAAATAAGAAGTATTCTGTATTGTTCAGACTAAAAAAAAAAAAAAATCATCTTAAAGATAAGTAGGTACTTAAAAAAATATGCTATGACTAAACTTCTACATGACCAGGAAAAATAATTCTCTATACAAATACTTCAGAATTCTGCTAACCTAACAGTTTTTATATAGATAAAATAAATGCAGACTACAAAAGGAAAACATCAAAAGAGTATACTTTTCTATTTGCATTATGTGAAGACAATCCTCTAAAACTTCTGGAAATAGCAACCTTCTATAATCAGTTATATTGATATAAAGTGAAGACATTTATCTTCCAATGATTTTTCTAGAGGGACAAGTCAGGAATAGCCAAATTTAAATTTAAACTCTAATTCATTAGAATAATAGGTCATAAGTTTAATATCAACCACATACAGTATTTTTGAAAAGCAATTAAAAATGTACCCTGTGATACTGTCTTTAAACCTAGTCTTTAAATTGTTCCATTCAATGGACTAGTAGTATAAGTAAATATATCTCTCCTTAGAAACTTCTCTTTGCAAAAGCAGTAAAACTTTAGAACTCTATATGGATGGATGCATGTTTAGCTACTATTAATTGAGAGCTGAGAAAAATCACAGCAACCTATTACTTGAATATATGTATAATCTAGAGAAAAGCCAACACCAAATGATTTCACATAGTATCTGATCTTTTTTTTTTTTTTTTTTTTTTTTAAATTAAACAGTAAGAAAAACTGATTGGCAACACAACAAGACTGAGAATACAATAAAAGTTTAAAAAATGAAATTAAGTGAAAGGATACAGCCTTAAAGCACCAGTCTGAGTTCCCACTGCTAGGATCTTCTGTACAGGATCGAAGGCCAGGGCTGAGGGTTGATAGGGAAATCCATGGCGAACAGTCTAGGGATGGGCAAGTGACATCACACCAACCAAAGCAGCAGCAAAATTTAAAAACAGAAACGTCAATAAAGGCATTAGAATCTAAAGCCAATTTAATGGGTGCAAAAACACATATACATGTACTTGCTCCTTTAAAAAAAAACAAAAACCAATACAAAATGTATACTAATCAGTTATATAAAGTGAAGACATTTATCTTCCAAATTTGGCTATTCCTGACTTGCCCCTCTAGAAAACAATCGCGTAGAACCTGAAACCAACAAAATCTACCCCAGTATTACACTTTAATTTCTGCTTTTCCATAATCTGATATTCTATTGACAAAAAATCTTACTAATAGTCTATAGCATTATATCTGAGACCAAATTATTAAAGTTCACAGTGGTTAAAAATTCTGCAAATTCATTTAAAAAGGCAATTCATGTTTTCTTTCAAGTGTGATAACTTCATCATTAGCTTATTTGAATGCTAATGCAAGTACTTCTAAGGAAAAGCTGTCATGTAAGCTAGTCAAGGATCCAGTAAAGCAATTCTCAAACATCTATCCCAACATTTTGCAATTCTAACAGAAGACAGACTTCTGCATGTTGCTACTAAATACTTTATCATTTCAGGGCAATGTGGCTTAAAAAATGTTCCTACCCACTTTCTTAAGAAACTCTAGCATTTGATCGCACGGTGTTTACAAGGCAGGCAGGCATCAACACCACGCCAAGTTTGTATTTCTCATTGAGCAGCTGCTGAATTTAATTCGCTGCATCATTCTTTCGGAATTACAGACCGCTATGGCAACGGCCATGCCATTAATAGGCCAAAAATAAAAAATAAAAAATCACAGTACTAACTTTTTTTCCACTAAACCTAAGGAGGACCCTGTGATTTCACATTTCGAAACCTACTAACATAGTCTATGAGAAAAGTGATGAGCAAATTATCTCGCTGAACAGGTTTGGCTTTTTGACAAACAACATTCATCAGGCACTGACTGCTTCCACGGGGGAAAAACTTCAAAGTTGGTGAATTACATTAAAAAAAAAACACACAAAACGCCTGAATGTTAAGTAAGACTGTTCATTAAGAATATACGGATTAAAGATCAGTATAATAGGTTGGAAAGCGCCTTGAATGATTGCTGCCTGGGACAGCGGGGGGAGGAGGCAGGGGGTAAAAATCAAAGAAAACGTTTAAGATGATGTAAATCTCCAAAAAACAAACCCAAAACCATCAAGCAAACGTTGGCCGGAGGATGCACGATTATTATTCTAGTTCCCTGGCGCTGCCCCCTGCGAGCAGCGAGCTGCCCCGGAGGAGGAGCCGGCCGGCGGGCTGCACGGAGGGGCCGTTCACCTTGCAGAGCTGGAAGTGCTCGGACTGGAGCGTCTCCTGGATCTCGGGCTCCCGACTCCCCGGCGTGTGCTGCTGCGGCGGCGGCTGCTGCGAGGCCGAGGACGAGCCGGCGGTCAGGCCGTCCAGCACCTTCCTGATGTTGAATTTCCTCATGGTCTCGGCGGGGCTGGCCCCGCGCGGCCCGCGAGGGGCGGCCAGGGGCGTCCCCGGGCGGGAGGAGCGAGCCCGGGCGGAGGGCGGCTTCCGCGGGGGAGCGGGGGCGAGTGGGAGTGTGAGGGGACGGGAGGCAGCAGCTGCGGAGAAGCTAGAGCCGATCCAAACAGGAAATACGGCGACGGCGCCGCGAGAGCAGCCCAGGCGGCGACCCTCTCTCTTCCTCCGAGGCCGCCGCCGCCTTCGCCTCGCCCCGCGGCCCGGCGGCCCCGCAGTGGCGGCGGCGCCCCGAGCGCTCGGCCGGCCTCACCTGGCCGCGGGCGGCCCCTGCGCCGCGCCGCCGCCCCGGCTCGCCCCCGCCGCCGCCGCCGCCGCCGCGGCCATGGCCCGCGCGGCCCCCGCTCCTCGCCCGCCCCGGCCCCCGCGGTCCCTCGGCGCTGCCTCTCGCTCCGGCCGCCGCTCCTCCTCCTCCTCCTCCTGCGGGGGTCGCCGGCTCTCGGTCCGCAGCAGCCGCTCGGCCTCCCCGCCGCTCAGCGCCTCGGCCGCCGCCCGCCCGGCATCGCACGCAGAGCGCCCGGGGTGGGTCCCCGCGCTCGCCGCCTCGCTCCGCCTCGCCCGCCCGCCGCCGCTGGACCGTCCCGCCCTCGCTGCTTCGGAGCCCGGCTGCCCGCCTCCTCCGGCGCCCGAGCCGCCCGCGCTCCCGCCCGGCCGCTCCCTCTCGCCGCCGACTGGGAGGCTCGGCGCACGGCACCAACGCCCGCCGAGCAGCAGCGGGGCCGCGGGAACAGCGCCGGCGGCGGCGGCGGCGGCGGCAGCGGGGCCTCCGCGGAGCGGGGCTGCTGAGCATGCGCACGGCCCCCCCCGCACCCCCCTTCCCTCCCCCGCGGCAGGGGAGCCGGGGCTGAAATGATCCTCCGCTACAATCCCCGGCCGCAGCTACCTCTCTCCCGCCCCGACCGCCCCGCCAGGGCATGCAGCTGCTGCCCCTGCAGCTGGGTTAGTAAAAATGTGGACGACTTTTTTTTTTTTTCTTCTTTTTGAAGCAGCAGGAAACCTTTCTTTCCAATTCGGTCTTTAAAGCGGGGTTTATGTTCTCACCCTTTAAGGGGGTACATACACACTCCTCCCGGCTGCGGGCTGCAATATTATTGCTGTGACTTTATGGATGGTCTTTGTTTTGGATTGATTTGGATTTGGTATGGGGGGCGTGGGGGGGGGAAGCGACTTGGCAACCATTATGTAGCAAGAGAATGACAGATTTTTAAATGCACTAGGAAAGGAGATAAACCTAAAAAAAAGGGGGGGGGGGATGTTATTTCTTTCCTGAAATTGTGGGTGGGATTAAAGAGTGGCCTAGGCAGGGGCAGGTAGCTGCTGGAATGGAATAAGCTACCGAAGGGGAACCGCTCCAGGGCTGGGTGTCTGCCGCCACCCCTGGATCCAGTCTGCACGCAAGGGTGGGTGTGGATGGGGGCGGGAATGAGGGTGCAAGTAAACAATGAGCTGTCACTCATGTCTGAACCTTCCATCTCCTTTAATGCTGATTATTCGTCAAGTAATCCCCAGCAGCTTCTCTCTCCACTCTTGGCGAGGTCAAGGAGGGAAAAGATGAAGTTTTCGCCCAGATCTTTCAGCTGCTTCTCACACACAATCTCGCTTGGGTGCTTGGAGACAAATGTCTGCTTCGAGTTTGACAAGGTAGAGAGAGGTTCAAGCTGCAAGTACCCTCCCAGAGAGTGCTTTCAGCCAGAAAGGTAGAAGGGAAGCAGAGGTATATGATTAGGAAGAATGTGGGAAAACTGGAAACCAAGAAATGGGGAAGCTCATCAAGACTAATTCTGTTTCGTGGGGTAGGGGTTGGGAGGAAGGACACTCTTCCAGATTCTTGATTTCCAAGCCCCTAAGGGTCCAGCGGCGAGGAGCAAAGAGAAGAGCTACTCAGGGTTCTCCAGCCCAGTTCAGAAGTGCCCGCCCTCTTGTTTATGATTGGCTGAATTCTGCATCGTTGTGGGGAAATTCTCATCCCGGTATTGGTTGATGCGACAGGCTTTCAACAACAGTCAGCAAACCAACTACTACTCGGGCTCAGGGGTTTCGGGAAATGTAGTTTTCTTTGGGGCTTCCGCATTCAAGGATGATGTCTCTCACTTGGAACATATAAAAATCGTATTGTGGTTTAATATTTATTGAATTACTCAGTTAATCCGATGGGGGCAAAGAACAATAAAACAAACTTGATTACTTTTCTTAAACTACTTACAAGTGTTTCTGAATTTTTTTTTAATTATTATTATTTTTTTTACTAATTTAGTGCTCTGAAACATTTTATTGTATGAGACCTTGTGCCAGGCACTGAAGGCAACACAAGAGTCCTTGCTTTCAACAAGCTCACCACAGTCTAAAAAGGGGAAAACCTCGCATAAATAAGTAATCATAAAACATTGTGATGAGTTCATTGATGGAATCATGCATGAGGAGGAGTGAAGAGGATAATTTAACCAGCCAGAGAAGTTCTGGAAATGATGATATTTACTAAAACTGTGTCCAGATAAGTAGGAGTTGACCAGGTGAATAGTGGGGAGAAGAGCATTGGAAGGCAGGTGGGGAGTTTATTTTAAAAATACTAATACCTCCATAGGGAAATTTCAAAACAGAGAGATCACTTATTTCTCCACAGATTTTTATGATCCACTTTACCATCTAAGTTGAAAATAAATCTGTTTGGAAATTTGTCATCATTGGATTATAAAACTCTTTGGAGAAGGGACAGCTTCTTGCTGAGAGGCCTTGTGGTGGTGTAGTGGAAAATTCCAGGGCTCTGTTGTCTGCCAGACATGAATTTCAATCCAGGCCTTGGTAATATGTACAACTTTGGGCAAATCCCTTACTTTTCCCTCTCCCTCTCCCTCTCCCTCTCCCTCTCCCTCTCCCTCTCCCTCTTCCTCTCCCTCTCCCTCTCCCTCTCCCTCTCCCTCTCCCTCTCCCTCTTCCTTTCCCTCTCTCTCTCCCTCTCCCTCTCTCTCTCCCTCTCCCTTTCCCTCTCCCTCTTTTCCTCCCTCACCCTTTCCTTCTTTCTCATACTCTTCCCCTCCCTGTGTCTAAAATTAATGAAAATATATCCTTGATTTAGGAATAAAGGCTACCAGTCAAACTAAGGCTCTGTTATTGATATCAGGGGCAGCTGGATGCTGATTGGAAGGAGTAAAGTAGAAACTAAAAATACATATTTTGGTGAGAAATTATATTATTGTACAAAAACTTTCTAGAAGGTAAAATATATTATTGGCAAAAAGCTTTCTGAAAGGTAGACCAACTATTTCACCTACTAGCATTCATTTATATGGAATTAACTGTAATTTATTGAGTCCCGAAGGATGTCTACATGACAATAATTGATTCACTACACCTTTTAACAGCATACTGAATTTAAATTATTTGTAAATTGCAGCAGAGATATTAATCAGTTCGCCTAGCTCAGAATTGTTTTTTAAATGGGTATCCTAGATACTGCTGAAATGCTCACCATATTTCTGAGCAGGTAACCATGTGTCCTGATCCAGACTGATTGAATCAGAGGCAGACACCTGAAGTAAGCCAAGGTGAGAGATCATATTCCTCTGGGAATATGGAATTAAATCATAAAGATGATAATTTGTCTGAACCAGGAGATCATATAGAGCTGGGACTGAAGCAGAGAGCACTCATACTTTGATGGATCACTGGAGAATGGAATAAACCCAAATTACAAAGAAGTGCCTCTAAGGAGATGAAGAGTAAAGTACCTATTCCTAATCTCCAGTTCCTGGTTCTTATTCTGTCTACACTTTCTCTCTTTCTTTGTGTAAACAAGTTTGAGTTGGTTCCTAGTTCTTCCAATCAAATATTCTTATAAGTTTAGACACAGCCTGCCCCAGAATGTAAAGAGATGTAGAGATTTTTAGCCATCTTTCATTGCCATATTTATCTTCTACTCACAACTCTTCCCCAATGTTTAAGAGGCTACTGCAACATCTAGCAAAGAATTTGTGGGTTAGCCTGGAATGGTTAAAAGTAATTGTTGTGATGAGAAAAGGTCAGATTCTGGATTATATTCTAATGGTAAAGCCAACAGGATTTGCTGACCATCTGGGGCGTATGAGAGAAAGAGGCAAGATGAGGCCTCAGTTTTTGGCGTGAGCACTTAGAAGGGTGGTGTTGCCATTTACTTTTCACATTTATGACTCTTGGATCATTTCCAGTTACCATTTGTACCTGAGTGGACTTGACAAATATCATCAGCTAAATAAACAAGCCTTGTCTGGGAACAAGCAGGATCCACTACATTGTGATCATCTTTGTCAAGCTCTGGCCTTTCTAGAAAAACAGATTAGGCAGATATTCGTGAGCCTTTCTTATTCCATGGATTACATCTGTCACTATTTAATAATATGTGTAAAAGTATTACTAAACCATATACAAAAATGTCTAGGCAAAAATCAGCACGTTCAAGTGAAGAGAAAATTCTAAATCTGCAACAAAAAATAATAATAATAAGTGAACCAAATGAACACTTAAATATAAAATATGAGGCATTAATGTTGAAAATGAGAAAAATATTGTCAAATGGGGTAATCAGGAATTTCTCAATACATTCTCATATGTTTCAAATGTTATTTCTACAATGGAAACAATATTTGAGGTAAGGAAGAATGTTTCCAGTATTTTTAATTTAGGTATTATATTTCAGAATTTAAATGTTGTTGTAAATATTTTGAGAACTTTGCCGAAAGTCCACCTTTTCTTTTCAAATAACTCCTTATAATTTGATCTGTGAACTGAAGAGCTAGTGACATAGTGTGTACTTTATCCCATTACTCCCACTTAATATTTTGTGGTTAATGAATAAGCTTTGCAAAGCACTTAAAGTTACTATTTTGTTTTAGTCTCCACCCTCTGAGCTTCTTTCTACTCTACCAGCCTATTCCCTCCCTTCAACTAACTACCCACCCTTCCCTGCCCCC